ATCACTAAAACACGCAAATCCAATTTGATCCAATCCTCTATTCTCTCGCCCATGTCACATATATGGGGCAAATAATTACGTTGATCATAGTTAATGGAGCGAAATGGTTTGGAAACCTATTGTTCTAGGTTTTGGTCCAACTTTATCCATTGTYATATGACGTGACCGTGCACAGAGAAGGAAAAGTTGCTCCGTTTGTTCACAGTATTCGGAAACATAGAAGTTTCTTTCCCTAAAAAAATTTCTTTAGGATAGTTATTGTTTGTTAATTAATCCTATATGATTAAAATTAATTGTGTATTAGAACAAAGATCAACCTTTTTCATGCTTTCCTATTTATCATGTAGTTACTTAACTTTATCTGCGCGGAATTATTTATCCGCTTAGTTTGTGGTCATCGAATGAAAGTTTTCACTTTCAAAATGTTCATACATAAGATAAGGAAACCAGTATTTTCAGCGATACTTACTTCGGTTCATTGCGCMCGTTCAGTATCACGTGATGATACGGCTCAACCTCAAACGCGAAGCAATCCCTTTATATATATATAAATACTATTCCGCTCTATTAACTATGCATTAATGAACGTAAATCAAACATCAGGTCGATGGGAAAAATTTCATTTTACCATAACTTGGAAATTCCTCGCGCGCTTATTGGCATAGAACCATTGTCGATTAGAGGCTAAGCCTGCTTGTGCTTACAACATCCGTCACGCGCGCACTGAGCGAGCGGATGAATCGGCTTTTTCAAACTATTTACTTGTCTTTTTGTTCAATTTTGTTCCACTTCAGTTTGCATCATTTTTGACGTCATCTCATTTTCGATTACAGTACAGACCCATAGAAAACTGACTTCAATTTGTTAAATTGAAACAATTATAGCCAATAYTCCGCGATCAATATTTTAAACTCTGAGATATTCTAAATAATTTGTCAAGCTTGCAGGGCATCGCAACGGTAACCAAGGGAATCGGAACCATGAATTAGCCACATTGTCTAAAACAAGCGAGAAAAAAGGTAAAGTATCTACATTTAACGTCGGTAGTTCCTTTAGTTAAGTTCAACTGCYATCAATGAAAGCCGACGAAACGCGACGGAAAAACTACTGCAACATCCAGTCTACTAGTCTCCAACTCGTATGGGACAAAATGGTTGACCCTTGTAATTGTTATAAAGATCATCAGCTCCCATACGGTGAGGAAAACGTTCATGCATATAAGTTCAACTTGCAGAATCTTTTATGATTAAAACTAAACATGCGGGAAAACATTAATTGCCATAGTATCCAGTCTTGCAGTACATCCACTCCCCAAAACGGATACGTTGATAAGCTAAAGCTAGTGGYATCTTCTATCTGACACAAAAACACGCGGGAAGAAGGTCAATCCAACCAATCTCCTAGTTTCCAACCCGTATAGGGCAGAACGCTTGATGAGCGTAAACCKCAGCTCCGGTGGAAAAAACCTCCATGCATGGCCAACACAGGTGTGATTTACAGTGTACACACTCCATATGATTACACCCTCCATTTTTCTCGATAGGAGAATTACACGACGGACAACGCTTTCTTCTGCCAGGTTTCTCATTCATCCACTTCTCAAGCAACGCTTTTCCCGGGTCTGTCTTGTCGATTTCATTTTCTTTGCATGTAAGACCAAGGTGGTATGGTTGGTGACAAGAAGAACAGATTGCAGTAGAACACACACTGCATCGAAATAGTTTCCCGTTCGTGGTAACGGGATAGACCATTGGGCAATCAGGTGTCGGACAGTAACGTGCCTTGTCTTGATTGGCATCGACATAGGACTTAAGAGACATCTTCATGACTTTATCATGCAGCTCCTTCTTTTGAGTTAGAAGATCGATCATATCCAAAGCAAACATCTCCGGACAGTCTTCGTGAGTGCAACACAGTGGAAACACCGCTGCATTGAATTGYTGCTCTATACAAGTCATACAGCAAGCATGCCCACATATGGCAAGTCTGTATGAGGTTGTTTCGTCGTCTATCGCACAAAAACAGATAGGGCACTCTTCCTCTTCAATTTCMGTTCCAGTATTTGGCTGAAGGGGTGCTATAGTCTTTGCTATTTCTTCGATCACACGAAGGACGTGGCTTTTTGCGTCAGGTGTACTTTGGACCTTCAAGACTTGCTTAGAAAGGTATATATCCACCTTGTTGACTCCTTCTATTTCAAGTAGTCCTTCAAATTCCCGACCATATTTTGACATCAGTTGTTTCATCAAACCTCTAGGCCGTCCGTCCTCTTTTAAGTTGACTTCCCAAACAGTRCTTCCCTGCAATGCGAGGTCTTGGATAAAACGATASACAGCGTCTCTTGCTTTCTCTTTCTGTTCGCTAGTGCCATACAAGGTTATAGCCATGGTTCTTTCATCAGTACAAATGAAGGCCCCACTTTGTTTCTGAATTTCCTTGAGATGGTCTCTACCACTTTTACCGAGAAGAAACATCGAAGGTTTAGAACATTCGATCTTCTCACCTTGGATACACTTGGATATTTCTTTCGACGCCTGCAAATGGTGTTCCAAACACGTCGTATCCACTGATAATTCMATCCGTCCTTTGGACTTTGCTGGCTTTTCTTTCAATCGAAGTTGGTGTTTGCAGTTTTCAGCGCATTCTTTTGCAATTTCATCGATTTTGCTTTGGACTTCATCCTTGACGAGGTCGTAGACGCTTGTCATACAGGTATCAAAGAAATTCAAGTAAGGCTTGACTTCTAGGAACACCTCCCACATTTCAAGGCGGTTTAGGCCATAACATCTTTTTCCACTGAGACGTCCAACGACCTGAATGCCTTCGTTTGGGTTGAGGAAATCAGCATTGGCGACACCAAAAGGGGATTTATTTGGTACGTCTAGCACTGTTACCTCAAAACTTCCTGGCCTTGCATATCTTGATATCAATTTCTCTAAAACTGTCTTCTGTGCCCCTGTATCGGCCATTGTTTCTCTCTGTTTGTACTGGATTAAAATGTGTTGGTCTCTTATCGTAATACAACCATGAAAAAACGTCTCCACTGCTTCTCTGATGTCTTGCTTTGTAGTGTTAGTACTAAGGCTGTGGAGGAAAAGGGTCKTCTCTCTATGCTTGTCTCTACGAACACGAGCTGATCTGGATCTTATTGTAAGCTCGGATATCGAAGAAATCTCGTACCACACTTCTTCGGGTTGGTTCTCGAAGGACACATTTGCCATTCCTTTAGGCTCGCGACGATGCCAAGTTATTTTTATTCTGAAGTTAAAATGAGAGGAGTCTCTTCCTTGCTGTGACATCTGTCGTGTCCTCTTGGGCTCAACCCTGTAACCAAGCTCATCAGCTGTACAAAACTCTACGGCTAGTGTCGCTTCTTCAGGCTTTTCATAAGTAGCAAAGTGCATGTCACGGTAAGAGTTAAAGTCAATAAGTTTCCCAAATTGACAAAGAAATTCCTTAACATCCGCTGGTGTAATGGCCTATCTTGGAGGTTTCTCACCACCACAGAGCGGTACATGTCTGGCAGTAGAATTTGCTGCACTGTTAGACCTTTCTCCATAACCACTCGAAGAGCAGAAGACTCAGCAATTACAGGACATTCACGCGTCTCCTCGCGAATTCTTTCCCTTTGCTCTTCCAATATTTTCTGGGTTAATTCTACAGCCTTGTCAGAGTAATTTTTGGGAACAAACAAATCCACTTTACCGGCATTTCTCTTTGCCTCGACGACAATCGGTGCGCTATTACAGGAATCTGAGATGTTTTTCTCAAGGCAAGGTAATTTACTTCTAAAAGGCTCGAATGCTCTTTTCATCAAAATCGAACTGCAGCGTATGCTGGGTAGTGGCACCATCAAAACTTCAGCCAAGACTTCTTCAATATCAAGGTGTAGTTTTTTCTCTGCGATACTCTCCTGAAGCCAGCTTGTCTCAATTGGAGTAACGTTCAATAAGAAATCTTGAGAAGTCTTGAGAATKTTCTCATAGACAATGAACTTAGGATTGGAGCCAGTGAAGTTAACAGAGGAAGACGGGTGAATCTTCACAAAATGTCCTCCAGTGATTGTCTTGTAACCTCTTCTTTCGTGTCCAGTGTAAACGCACAGTTTCGTCATGAAGCATGAAAAGAGTGTYTTCTGCAGCCGACCATCCGTTGTTTCTTTGTCAAGACTGGACCATTTGATGTCAGACATCTTGAGCTCGTGTTTCAGTGTTGATTTGAGATCATTAACAGTTTCATCAGCCATACGCATCGCTTTGGCATTCAWACTCTTTTCAAAGCACCACCGGCCTCTGTCTCTCTTGTCTACTTTCTGCCAAGATCGATAAACGTCTAGAAGAGTCATGAAATCGCCTCCAAGGTGACAAAACTCAACTTTCTTCATATCTGCTGCTTTCTTCTCTTCTTCAGTTCCCATTCGAAAGAAGACATTGCCATTTATAGTGGCCACAGACACCAACACAAGAGCTTCATWGCCAACTCCTCGTTCAAAACCTTCAAACAGAAACTTTGACAGACCAGGATCAACAGGAACTTTGGCCATCTTTTTACCAAGCTCAGTAAGTTGGCCACCACATGTAGCCCCAAGTTCTTCCAGCTCCATCATCGCTGTTTTGATMGACTCGACAGGAGGAGACTCGACGTAATCAAAGTCAGCAGGGTTTCGTATGCCCAGTTCCATAAGCTTCARCAAWGCTTGACCAAGATTMACGCGTAGGATCTCTGGTTTAGATGACTTCTCCATGGCATTGAAATCATCTTCAGTGTACAGGCGGTAGCATTTCCCACTCTCGATCCTCCCAGCTCTTCCTTTTCGTTGATCGGCAGAACTTTGGCTAACGTCAGATACTTCAAGAGAGTTGATGTTCCTTTTTGGATCATATTTCATCTCTTTTGCTTTCCCTGTGTCCACTACGAACTTGATTCCAGGGATGGTCAGGGAGGTCTCAGCACAGTTAGTGGAAAAAACGACTTTGCGTTTTCCTTTCGGAGTGGGCTTGAAWACCTCTCTTTGCTCTTCTTGTTGAAGTTTTCCGTGCAAGGGAAGGAATTKAATATCATCTTTTTTGATCCTGTTACGAACTTTAGTACAAGCCTGTTCGATTTCAGCTGGACACGTAAGGAAGACGAGAACGTCACCGGCTTCTTCGTTCTGATGTATCTCCACGACTTTCTCCACAGCTTCCAAAACGTAATCACCAGAAGTTTTTTKCTCCTTATTCCAAATAACGTCCACAGGGAACGTCTTACCAGACACTTTAACCACAGGGCAATCACCGAAATACTTGATAAACAGATCTGGATTTATGGTTGCTGAGGTTATAATGACACGCAAGTCCGGTCGCCTGGGAAGTGCTTTTTTGATAATTCCCAGGAGAAGATCAGTGTTCATGTTTCTTTCGTGGGCTTCGTCAATGATGACACAGGAAAATCGAGTAAGATCTTGATCTTTAATGCATTCCATTAACAACGAGTAGTCTGTTGTAAAGAGAATTTTGGTCTTCTTTGCTCTTTTGTCAGCTGCTCGAGCACCGACAGAGCATTCCACTACATGTCCGCTTTCTTTCATTTCTTCACAGACATACTTTTCCAGGCTGAAGGCAGCGACTTTYCTTGGCTGTGTACAAACGATTACGCCTTTCTCTGCCAGCCCTGAATCGTATAGATACTGAACAACTTGTGTGCTTTTGCCAGAACCAGTTTCTCCCAAAATAATGCTTACTTGGTTGCTTTTCACGGTGTCTGTGATAACACTTCTCTTAGCGTAGATTGGAAGAGCTTTATTTAAGCGATCTTTCTCTCTTTCCATCAGCTGTTTCACTTCTTTTATCTCTGAATCTAATTCCTTCCAGCCAACTTTCACTTCCTTTAGAGAAAGGATTCTGTCGATAAGTTTACAAACAATATCTGCAAACTCTTTTTTCTGACAATTTAATTCTAGTGCCTTTTGTGTCAGCGCTTCTTTTTCGGCTTTTCGTTTCTCCCATTTGTCCAAAGCGATCATCTTAGTCTTACCAGCCCTTTTTTTTTCACCTTGCAAACTGTCAATGCTTTGCATAACTTCGTCAAATTTCTTTTGATGTGATGCCAGGGCTTTATCTTTCTCTTTTAAAATGTCGTTGATGGATTTGTCGAGGATAACTTCGCAGAGAACGGCGTTGATCTTTCCATTTTTCAAGATGTCGATTGCCGAGGGTACTTCTTCTTTGTTCTCAAAGCAGACCACATACTTTTTACTATGTAGTTTACGAGACTTATTTTGAAGGTCTTGTAGCTTGAATTTAAAACGACTTAGCGTGTATTGTAAGCCATCTAAGGCTACCTGCCAGTCAACTGCTCCTGGTAAAGTGATGGATACAAGGCATTCATTTTCATTTAGCGGAGGGTGTACCTTTCGTTGCAAAGRCCTCGTTCCTCCATTACAAGTATTGTTCTGTGTACCTTGGGTCACCACTTTRCTGGAAATGTCATCTGTTTTARGTGATGCTTGACAGATGGTAGCAATGTCTATATTGGCCTCGTCAACAGGATGGCCTAATGTGTCATCCTGTAGCGAAAATGGTAGATTATTAAGACAGTTCTCTGTTCCGTGTTTTTCCACTTGATCGGGTACAGCGTCATCCAAATAAGAGGTTGGTAAGGCATTGGGAGCAGACATACTCCCTCTACGGGTAGATGTCCCATTTTGTAAATTAAATGGTACACTGTTATCCATAACAGAGTCTTCCACCTTTAAAGCTGTTTCACCATCCTGCAGGGAGAATGGCAAGTTATCTGTATKGTCTTGAGGAGATGTTGTTCCATTCGTAGACATAGAGAATGGTAAATTACTGGACCAGGTATCTGTAATGATATCGTCCACTTGCTTAGAGACTGCCGAATTCAACTTAGGACTTTGTATCAAGTCTGTATTAATTACTTGATGATCTGATACGTCTGACCTAAATTGTGACAGACTCCTATAAGTGACCATACTAGACTGCATACTTTGTACAGCGTTTGTGTTCATTGATTGAACGATTGTGTCGACATTTCCGTATGATTTTGGATCACTGGACATTGCTCTTACACTGGACTGACACTCGTTCACGCCTTCTTGGTTTGCACTCAAAGTATAATATTTATAGTCCCTGTSAGTCACACTAGACGTTTTCGTTTGTGTGGTGTTTGTACTCATCCCTTGATCTACCAATCCATTGTCCTGCCTATTGTGTTTACGGGTACTAGAACGAAGTGCCGTACTGCCCACACTAGACTCTTTCTTCTGTATGGTGTTTGTATCTGCATTCAATCCGCAATTTCCAACAACATTGAAAGGAAGACC